CATGGCCCCACTTTACACTGGCTTCTTGCCCTGCTTGAGGCCAAATGATCCTTGAGGAGCTGGGTTTGTGTCCAACCTGTAAATAGCAGGGCTACAGGAGACGAGTGAAGCTTGTCCAGAGCAAGCTCAAGAGAGTCATCAAAGCTCAACCAAGTCCCATGCATTTGAGTGATGACTACCTTGGTGATGTTCATGAGTGGAAGGAGCAGCCGCTCTGTCTACACCAAGTGGTGTACCGTAGTGAGGCGGGACACATCCAAAGGGGCTGGGAATAGGTGGAAAAGATCTTGAACCAGATTCAAAATAAGCAAATGGAAATCACTGAAATAAACTGAAATGGTGTTTATGGGGAAGATTGGGATGGAGGTGAGCAGTGTGCTTGGAGGCAAGAGAACTGTCTGTAGACCTGCTCTGCCTCTCCAGGAAGGTCCTTCCTTCAGCTCAGCATCTTTGTAGATGAGCTGGACGTGCATTCAGCAGTGCTGTTTGCTTGTGCTGCTCTGCAGGCGTCTGTCCGACCATGGACTTGTCTCCATTTGTCTTGGTTTGCTCTGGCTGTAGACATGCCTGGTTGCACCCACATTCCCATGTGTGTACATCCACCCTTGGGCTTTGCCTTTGCCTGCGTCCAACATGTTGGCCTGGCTTGAAGGGGGGGTTCTTCATTGCTCTGAGATTATCACCACCTTAAAATACTGGGTGGTTACATGGAGCAGCCCATAGCAACACTCAGAGAATTGTGGTGTTTAGATAGAATCATAGAATGATTAGGATTGGAAGGGACCTCTAGGATCATCTAGTTTCAACCCCCCTGCCGTGATAACGGCAATTGGACTGCTACCTGCTCAGATTCCCAGGACACGCATGGATGTCCTGGATGCATCTGTTGGAGTTTCACAGCAAGGGCTCCTCTTTAATTCCTATGGCTGAGGCAAAGAAAGCTGGGTGGTAAATGGTGATGGTCCCTGATGGTGCTGATGGAGAGGGGGGCAATGCCTCTTGCATTAGCAGCAGGGTGGTGGCAGCTCTCCCAGGCTGTTCCTGTGGCCCATGTTAAAAAAGGAGGAGAACTCAGTCTGTTCTCTGATTATTTGCAAGCTCAGAGCAGCTTTAGCATCATGCTGACATGGCTGTGACCAGCCTTGTGTGGGAAGTGTGAAACAGGTGGGTTAAAGCAACATCTCTGCTGAGCTCAGCCATTCTACTTGGGATTGCTGAGGTCTGGAGGGCTTCGAGCATCATCTGCAGCCTGGGCATGCAGATGACCATGGTGGGAGAAGGTCTGCATGATTTGGTGGGTGGAGAGGACCCAGGACCTAAAGTGGAGCTGCAGTTTTTTTGCTCTGTGCGTCTTAGTGGGCATCTTCCCATCCCAATGGGACTCTCTGGCACTATTAGTGCTCTGCGGAGTAACTTGTAGGTTTTCTGGAAATATGGAAATAGTAGGACTGTAAGCTTATTATAAGTATTAACATTTTATTTTGGTTTTGAACAAGTGAATTAAGTTACTGTAAATGTCTTCAGCAGTAATACTTGGCAGTGTGCAGCTGCAAACTTGTCATGTAACGGTTTTAATCTTATTTTTTCAAGAACAGAGGGAGCAATGGTTTTCTAACTGACTGGAGCCAAATCTGCGCTTGCGTCTGTGTCTCTTCCATATCTCTCTGGGGTTTTGTTTGCACAATATTGTAGTGGATGTAGCGAACATATGGGGCTTAAATCCATTTAATAGTTGCAAGAAAATGAGTTTAAGGTTCTTATAGTATTAAGGTAGACGTTTCCAAATTCGGTTTTAATGGAACATTTGTTCTCCAAAGATTATTACGCGCCATTAAGTCCTCTGCTGCCTGGTGCGTTCTCGTGCCCTGGGATATTATTGCCAAGGGATATAAACATGTTTATGAGGCCACTTTATTGAACGGTGAGATTAAATATACTAAACTTGAAAATGTCAGGAGGAGCATGAGTGCTTTGTGTTGTAAATCTTGTGTGAGGAAGTCGGGACATAAATGTCATGCCACCCCGTAAAACTGGTGCAAATCAGGTCACGACCAGCTGAGAACGTTTCTCACCAGTACAGCAGCTGTAAACACTGGGGTTTATCAGCGTTAAATACGTGGATGGGAGCAGGTAGTATATGGGTTTTTCCTTTCCCGAGAGGACTAATGTGCCATGCAGGGGTCATAAAAAAGCAAATTATGTTTTATGTATGTCTGGTGTGTGTGGGAGTGGGTGTGGGCGAAGCTCCCACCCAGCTTTAATGCTTCGTCTCAGTGCAAGGCAGCATTGTTGGGGGGACTCAGCTCTGCTCATTTTTTTTATATAAAAATGGACAATGTTATCTATATATATAATGTCACTCAAACCAAGAAACAAAAAATATTCCTGAATATGAGAGTAGAAAAAGCTTTGAGATAACTTATGCACTGAGATAAGGATTTATGTATTAAGATACATCTATGCAGAGATATACAGATATACGTATACAGATGTATGATGGACAGCACCAGACCTGCCTGTCCCTCTTTGTGTTGCTGTTACCTTGGTGCATGAGCCTTGCAGAGCTTTTTCTACCCTTGTACTCAAAAATTACCTGTTTATTTTTTTCTCCTGGGTTAAGTGATGGAATTAAACATCACTGCATAAACCTAGTGTTTTTCTGCTTTTATGCCAAAAGCAGGTGAATTTGCTGGCTTAAGGGATCTGACTCCAAACCCAAGGTGGCTTTTGGGCTTCTTAACTGATATGAGTGTGTGATATCTGAAGGCACGGAGCTTGGCTGCCAGCGCTGTATATCCTTCCCACGCAGGACTGACAACCAGCCCCAACACAGAGGCATCAAGGGAGAGGAATTTAGGATTTGCCTGGGAGCTCACAAGAGACCTGTGTCCGCTTGAATTGAGGACCGCTGGGTCTTTCTCTGAGTAACGGGAAGAGTTAACAAGAGCAGCCTTAATAAAAAAACTGTTGAAATTCAGGTGGGCGATAGCATCTATTTACGTGCCTCAGATAATAAGCCCCATCATAAATCTTAATAACGTGTTCGCAGCCTCTTCTTGTTCCTTAATGCTGGGAGATGTTCTCTTTGTCTTGGGCTTATTTTGAATAATGAGGATGGCTTTTATTTTTTTTTCCCCCTTCCATCCTGAACCTCTCCGTAGTTAAAACCAAGCCCTGTGATTGGTTTGGTTTTGGGGCGGCTGCGTCCCCCGTGCCGGGCTGGTGGGCTTGAGCTTTATGTCAGGAGAAACCTTGACCCTCGCATCTCCGTGTGAGATAGTACCTACACATAGCCATAAATCAGCTGGGGAGGGAGGTTTAGCAGTTACGGTGGGAGGAAGGGCAGGGGTATGCAAACTGTGGTTTGTATTTTGGTGTTTCTGCTTGTAGAGCTGTTGGAACACCAGCTGCGGATGTCCTGAGCTCCCTGGGGTCATGGCCACGTTATCTAGCTTGGAAGTGAAAACTAAAGTCTGTGTATAGCAGGTCTTGATAAACTTACTTTAGCAGTGAGAAGGATTTAGATAAAAAAAATCTACATGAAGCTGTATAATTTTTTGTGTGTGTGTGTGCATATAAGCATATATATATATGTACACACATGCATATATCGATATCATATAGAGATGTAAATATATGGGTGTATATGTACACACAAAATATATCAGGCTGAATATATTATATATATGTGTATGAAATATATATAAACATAAAAATATGTATATATACACGTATATATAAGAAATTATATCAGGCTGTATAGTTTTATTCAGGGAGATATCTATCTAAATAGATATCTATCTACATATCTATCTAAATAGATATCTATTTAGATATCTATTTATGTATCTATGGTTTTTATATATGTATGTATTTATTTGGCTCTATAAGGGCTGAGACCTGAAGTTGCAGTTGGGAGGTTTGGTCTAAGCTGTGTTAGAAGTGGCTAAATTTTAGGCCAGCGGGAAAGACCCTGGCTATGATATTTCTCCAGAAGCAGCTGGTTTTTTGCTGATGCAGCTGTTGTGCCTGCAGAGGGAAGGAGGAATAGTGCCTGTAGCGATGGAGGCACGCTGGCTTGCGAGGAAACCCAAGGTGTGCTTACCTCTCTGGAGAAAATGAGTTTCTCTTTGCAGCTCCCCTACACCAACCCTTGGAGTGGTTGTTGGAAACAAAGTGGTGTTCGGCTTGATAAAACAAGGTTAATTAACTGTTGTGGAAGAGGTATGGCTTTATTAGAAGATTTAACTCCTCATTTCTTAGTAGACACAAGGATGAGCATGTTGATTGCGTTGCCCTCAAAGCTAAAGGGTGGAAGCTCTCACTGTCTTGAACCAACATGTGTCAAGGGTTTTTCTGAGGGAAGCTCTGCCTTTTTGCTCTCAGATCCCATAGCAGATCTTCCATTCGCCCAACGCTCGCCTGGTGCAGAGTCTCCTATCACCTGAGTCATCTCACCAGTCTGCACTGGAAACGGCTCTAAATTGTAGCTGCTGTAGGTGCTCTGTTATGGAAATATTAATCTTTGTGGAGGTGCTTTGGTGACTCACCTCTTAATCCAGCTCCTGTTTAAAGCGGTAGCTGTGATGGAGGTATGTGGGTGAGTGTGTTGCCATCTCCCCTGTTCCTGCAGCTGTGCCCTGGCTGAGTACCAGGCTTTTTCCTGTGCTGAAGAGCGCAGGAAACTTTAAAATTAACCTTGTTAATTTAACTGTAGAGTGCATGTGCCTTGATTGGAGCAACCTATGGACCTGTCACCTCTTACTTGCATAGCAGATGTTGAGCATGTTACAGGTGCTGCTTGTTTGCAGAGCTCCTTTCAGCTGGGGCTCATGAAAGGTCTTAAAAATTGTAATAAAAAAATCTTCAAACTAAAACCAACCAGAGAAAGGCAAAACATGGCTATGTGGGGATAGGGGAGGTTTTGCTAAAGCTTAGATCTGCAACATCAAGAGGCTGCAGACTCCTGTGCCTCACCTGTAGCTCTTTCTGCCCCACAGGCATCGACATCCTGAAGCTGGTGGCAGCCCAGGTGGGGAGCCAGTGGAAGGACATCTACCAGTTCCTGTGCAACGCCAGCGAGCGCGAGGTAGCAGCTTTCTCCAATGGCTACGCGGCCGACCACGAGCGCGCCTACGCCGCCTTGCAGCACTGGACCATCCGCGGGCCTGAGGCCAGCCTGGCCCAGCTCATCAGTGCCCTCCGCCAGCACCGCCGCAATGACGTGGTGGAGAAGATCCGAGGCCTGATGGAGGACACCACGCCGGTAACGACGGGCTGGGCTTTGCGTGCTCTCGTCTGATGCGTTGCACGTCTTGTCTGGCTGTGGCAAGCGTGTGGATGTGGCTGTGGCTTTGAGGTTAGCTGCTAGGCAAGTAGCTGGACTCTGTCTCCCCTTGGAGCTACTCAGGGGCTTATATTTAACAATACATTGCTTTTGAGCAAAGATACACCAAAGTTGGCTCGAAACCTTGGCCAAGTTTTGACAAGCTCATGAGTCCCACGTGTTGTGGTTTGCACGTGTCTTTGAAGGTCACTGGGAGAACTTGATCCTTGAGCCCTTGCGTTAGGGCGGTGGAGGAAAAATCATTCCCCTTTCAACTTGCTCTTAAATGCTGCTAGTAAATCCCCAGGATTTTGTGAGAAGGGCCAAGTACCTTTGAGCCCTAAATGTTGTTGAAGAGCAGCAAGTGGCTTCCTCCAAGGTGGCAACTGGTGGCATAGGGATTCCATGCATGCTGTCCTCCAGAATTGTTGCCCTTCTGTGGCAACTCTGGCCTTAAAACAAGCTGTCCTGTGTTTTGAAAGAATAAATAAATTGCTGCAGAATGTCTTGCAGCAGGGTCTTGGCCGGTTGTAAGTCATCAGGAGCTGCCTCAGTGACCTTTGGGGTTTGTTTTGGCCACCCCTGCCTCACCTGTCAGTGTGCTTTTGTGTTTTTTGGCTCTGATAATTCGGTGGTCTTCTGAAAGTGTTCATAAAGGTGATGAATGGGGCTTCTTCTGAACGTGGAAGCCAATGGGGCAACACGTGGATGGAGGTGAGGGCAGTCAAGGGAGGGCTCTTCCCTCTAAACCAGTTGGTGAAACATCTATTGGCCTTAGCAATGAGCCAGACCCAAAGGGGAGTGGGTGGGTGCCTGCAAACTTCTCTGGGCACTTGATGGACCTTCATGTACAGCAGAGCTTGTGGGGCAGAGCAGTTGTTGTGGCAGCGGATTCCCAAACCCCATTTTGACTATCTCAAGCTTCCCCCTCTAAGAGGGACTGTGGTCTCTTCATGTGACTTCGTTTAAAGTACCAAGCATCTTGGTTTCTTGTAACCACGGTGTGAAATCACAGGCTTTGGTGTGTTGGCAGGAGTCCTGGGCATGTGTTTTTGAGACCCCAAGTCAGGTGTGTGCCGAGCACCGCCTCGTGCGTCCTGCCCAAGTTTTGGATAGGTTCACTTTGCTGGTTGCATGCTTGCTCCTGCTCCTGTTCAGTCGCTGTGTGCCTCCAGATTCGGTTTCTTTCTTCCAACACCTGGTAATTAGGCAGCATGTAGCTTTCTCATTTTCCTACTGTGTTCCAAGATTTATGTATTTATTTATTTTTAATATCAAAGATGGAAAAAACAAAGCGAAAAGCCTGAGACAAAACTATAGTTGGGAAGAGAAACGAGGCAGAGAAAATTGTCACTTTGCATGTGTGGATTGAAGTTTCCAGTATGTGTAATGTCCCAGAAGGACACGTTGTCCCCTTACTCTCCTGGAGCAGGTAGTACCCTCTGTCCTCCTAGTTACTGCTTTGATTGTGAATGCTACAGCAAAGTGCTGGGCTAGGACATCAGATAAAGCATTGTGTTCGTCAGCACAACGCCTGATGAACAGATGTGGGCTGTGTGGTGCCCAGTGCTCCTGAGCGTTGCACGGTTTCTGCCAAGACTTATTGGGCACTTCTCAAATAGCGCAGAAATGCAGGTGGTAGCTTCAAGAACGGGGTTTATTGGTTGACCCATCAGAACAGTGGACTCCTGACAATGAAGTAAACATGAGCTGTTTCCTTGTGTGTGCCCATAACTCAGAAAATACAGTGAGCAGATGTTCAGGAGCAGGGGCAAACCCAGATCTCATGGATGCTTGTAGACTTGTCTTCTGGACTTCCCAACCAGCTCTCCTGGAGGACGATTCTCTGTTTCTTAAAACAGTGTATTTTGTTCCTCAGTGTCCAGCAGCACCTGGAGCCTGGTGGTTCCCTGTGGCTATCACTTGCCATCCTACAAATCGGTAAAATTGGTTTGCTGGTCTTTTCAGAAGGTGGCTCAGGTGGGGTCCACATGAGAAGCAAGACTTGTTTCAGCAAAGGAGATGTCCTTAAAAATTCTCCCTAGCTGGCACATCTTCCTTCTCTGTGCATCCGATGGGGTTTTTTTTTTGAGCATCCCTCATGATCAGCCTGAAGCATTGGCCATTCCCATGCAGTCCCTCTGTCCTGAAGGTCCTCAGCCAGTCACTGAAGTGGCACGTGGGATGTCAAAACCTGAAAGTGCCCCGGGGTGCGTATTCAGCAGCATTTGCAGCACGCTGCATTTCCGCAAGCTATTGCCTGCTGTAACCTGCCTGCCTCCTCTCCCTGGTTTGGCTCCTGCACTGTGGATGCAGGTGGTGGTGATGGAGTGGCCCTGGGAGGATGCCGAAAGCTTTGGGAAACAGCTTGTGCAAGGGAAATTGAATCCCTGGAGCCTCATGCCAGCGGCTGAGATGCATCGCGGCGGTCCGGACCATCAGCAGCCAGGGAAGCCAATTGCTCAACGCCAGAGGCAGGTGTTGAAGTTATGTTTGGGATTCTTTTAATCTATGCTGCAAAATTCAAGCAAAAAATAAGTAAGAAAAAGAGCTTTTTGTGCTGTGGAGGGAGTGAGGACTCTCATAAGCAATGCAAACGCTTGCAACCTCCCTGCAGCCAACGGCATGAAGCCCTTGGGGTGACCCAACCCAGCATCAAGAATTCAACGCCTGCTGGTGTATCTTAGATGGGCCTGGGGGTCATGCGAGGGTGGCTGTGCCATCCCTGATGCTTTTGGCCCTTGCCTGGCATCCCTGGGTGCAAATGAGTGCTCCCCCATCTCTCCCTATGGCACCGTATCATAAAAAAAGCACCAACATCCCCCAACTCATTGGTAGAAATTGTGTTATTGGGTGACACAGTTCTCAGACAGCAAGTTGGTCCCGTAAACCCAGCCAGCCTCCCGTCGCCATCCCATCCTACCCACTACCACATCCTTGTCCCAAATCCTTTATTTGGTATCTGGCTTCAGCCTGTGAAGCCTGCGGAGGCGAAACTGCTCCCTCCCGTAGTGCCCAATTCCCTCGGCAGCCGTTCGGGCTTCCAGATCCAAATATTTTCAACCACCAATAGCAATAAGGGAATTAACGGGAGTCTGTGGAGCGTTAACAGTATCTGGCAGGGATGTTTTTCCTTCGGGTAGGGAACAGCTCCGCCGAAGGCTCGCCGGCTTTTTTAGCCGTGGGAGATTACGCCGGTTTCGCGTCGCGCTGAACAAATTTAGGTTAAAACGAGATTAGCCCTCTCGAATCGCTTCGCTGGGGTTTTCTTTTTTTTTTGCAGCTGATCCAGAAAATACAGCAAGCGCAGCAGCTGCGAGAAGGTTTCTTTTGGGGTGTGTTTCACTCATGGGGCTCCTGGTAAAGGTTGTGAACACTTCTCCAGCTTGAGGTTTGCAAAAATCTCTTCCCCTCGCAGGCGCGCTCGTGGAGCAGCAGCGTGCGAGCCCGGGCACTGTTCAGTGAGCACAGGCACACCCCGAATTAGTGGTGCTGACAACAACAAAAATAGGAGATAAAGAGGGGGAAAAGGAGACGTTTTTCACTGCTATCACAGCAAATTGCAATTCTCTGTTTTGGGGTTAAAAGCAGAAAAACTCAGTGCAGCACAGGCGCTGGGTAATGGGATTTTTTTGGGGTTTATAACAGCATTTTGTGGATACCAAGGGGTGTCTGTGGTCACCCAGGCTGGCCCTGGACGCTGCTGGCACGACTGGCCACAAGTGCTGCTGTAAGTGTCCTACCGTGAGCAATGCTTTAAGCTCTTGTCTTTTTATTTATGGCTCTGCTGGCCTCGGCTGGAATATTGCAGGGAGTGGATGGAGGGGAAGCAAACAGCCTCGCTCAGGGTTTTCGACTGTGCAGCCTCAGCAAAGCTTTAAAAATAAAAAATAAAAAATAAGGGAAACATTAAAAATGGAGGGCTGGAGCCCTGAGCCTAGCGAGATGTAGGTCTGTGGCTAATTGCATGCTGTGGATAATCGCGTGAATCAGCAGATATGCCAGGGCTGGCTCTGGTGTGAGGTTAAGCCGTGGGGTTTTTGGAGGGTGCTGGAGGAGAAGAGGATGTGAAAGCAGTGCCGTGTCCAGGCACGCGGCACTGGCAGCGCCTTTTGGCTCCTTTTCTTCCTCTTTTGCAGGTCAAAACCCTGGGGTGGGGGGGAGAGGGATGGAGGTCAAGAGCCTGGCGCAGCGTTTCCCAAATCCAGCCCCAACATCTCCTGCCTGTTCCCTTTGTTTCCTCTTTCAGCAAAGCAGAACTGGGCTGGACTCAGTAATTAGCGATGAGTGTTGCGCTGCGTTAACCTTGCACTTGGTGGCAGAGCAAGGGTGAAGCTGTTCGGTGGGTTTTTCAGCCCGGGGAGGGGGAGTTGCGGTCTGAGGGCTGGGAAATGCCCAGGCATCCAGGAAAAAACAATTGCATGCAATTTTTCTTTCTGGACTTGCAATCAGGTTTTATTTGAGGCACAAAGCTGTAGGATGAAGTGGCCAGAGCCCTGGGGAAAGGGGGTAGGGCTGTTTGGGTTTTGGTGGAGTGGGCATCACTGTTTCCTCCAGGTTTACTCTAAACCATGAGTTGGTTTTCAGCAAACTGAGATTGCGTTTGAACCAGGCTGGAGAACTTGCAATAAACAAAAATCTAATAATTTATGAAGTAATACAAATATAAATAATATAAACACAAAATTAGAAACTTTATAGTGGTTGTGGCTGTACTTGAGGTTTTCACATCTCCTTGGGTCTATCTTTGCAGTATAATGGGCTTGAGACTGTAAGATGAAGCTAGATGATGGTGAGGTTATAACAAGCCGAACTTGGTACCGACTTACTCAGCCTGTAATTGAGTTTGTCAACTCTTCATCATGGTTCGAGTTGAAAAAGTGAGTTGGTAAATCCATAGAAAGGAGAAGCCACCAGGAGCTCCCATGGAGGCACCATCTCCTGCTTGGAGTAGCGCTTGGCCCATGAATGGCTAGGGAGGAGCTCTGTGGATGGCTATGTTTTGGTCTTGGCATCTAAACCCCACTCCAGACCCAACATTGCAAGTCCTGGGTCATGTGAGGCTTGACTTGAGTGGCTCTTCTGCAGGGCTGCCTTCTGTTGAGGGATGCCAGCTCCACCACAGAAGTGATGTCAAGTGCTCTTCTGAAACCTGTCCAGTGAGGACACCAATGAGAGGACATTTGGGTGTTGAGGGTGCTGAGCACCCTTATGCCCTTCGCATCCTGGCAAAGGGCTTGCCTCCTGCTTTGCAGCACCTGCATGCCATCGCTGCATCTCCCTGCCATCTTGATGAGACCTTATGGCCTGGCCAACAGTGTTTCATCTTCCAAGGTCTGGACTGCCCTGAAGGTGGAACCTCAAACACCACGTGCATCATGAAGCTGTTCATCCAGGTGGATCCTCCCTGTGCCTGTGGGGACCATAGCGAGAGCATCCACCACCACCACCCTGCATCCACAGCGTCACCTGCCCAGGGCTGCTGCCCAGCTCACCTCGCTTCATGTGCTGGGGTTTCTCCTCCCGTGTCCGCTACAGAGGAGTAACAGACCTGGGAATAGGGCTGGTGTCAGCTGGGTGTCATTTTTTGGCAGGGAATCTGGGAAACGGCTGCCTTGGTGCTAAATTTATCCCCTCATGTTATCCCAGGAGTGTGCAGAGCCGCCCTCTGCGGCAGCAAACCTGCTGCCGGCTTTTATTACCGCCTGGTTGCTGCAAGAGGAATTACAGGGAAGCATCGCCCAAGGGAGGTTTGGTTTTTTTTAATGCCCATGACTGTTCCTTCCTAACATTAGCCCAGCAGCTGTGATCTCTGTTTGTCCGAGTTGATCCTTTATTGCGGTACAGTAAAAGGAGGACAGAAAATGGGACCAACCAGTTCCGACAGAGCTGTTGAGAGCAGCTGTGAAAAGGAAACAAAGCCAAGCTTATGTTGTCTTCTGCACCCGTCCGCTCCTGTCCTCTTCTCATCCTTTAGGAAGGACCTTCAGACACCCTGAGCTGCTTTAGAGCATCCTCCCAGGTGTATTGGGATCCAAAAGGACGTCAGTGCTTGAGCCACATCCTAAAGGGTTCCAAGTACACAGGAGCTTTTAGGATTTTTTTTTTTTTTTTGGCATTGCCAACCTCTTGCTGCAGTGCTAAAAAAAAACCACAAACCAACAAACAAACCCAAAGCCCAAACGAAAAAAATCCTAAAAAGCCAACCCAGTAATAAATTGGCAGAGCACTCTGGTACGACTGACCCATTCTTGGTTGCGAGAAGCTGCGGATGCGTCAAAGCCACCGCGGTGCCTTCGGTTTTGACACTGGTCCGTGCGTCTGACAGTCTCTGTTTGTCTGTCTGTGCAGGTGCAGATGCAGCCTCAGTGGCAAGCGCCGGACCCCTGCAACGATGATGGAAAGGTGAGAAACATGGTGGCTTGGGGAAGGCAAAAGGGCTTTGGAAGAGGTTTGGGGTTTTGGTTTTTTTTTTTTCCCAGTCAGAGCTCGGTTTTGCTCAAGCACCGCGGTTCTTAGAAACAGGAATGGCCAAGGTTGCTTCAAGCAAATGACTCATGGGCTATGAATAGTGGGTTTTTTTTTTTACACCTATTCCACAGGCTTCACCTCGCAGCAACCTTTTGCTTTCCACGGCCTCTCAAATCCCTCATTCCCACTTGCTTTCTTCCTGCGGTTTAAACATTAACACGCATCCAGGCATCCTGTTTGCTTTGCCTCATAAGCTCGCAACCATTCAGCAATTTGGAAAGCTTTGGGCTCCCGGGACGCCTACAGTCAAATAACCTCAGGTGGTTTGTTTTTTGGTTTTTTTTTTTTCCTAACATGCTTTAGTAGCTGTTTAATTAAACTCCAAATGACTCGCACGCTTCTGGGAAGGGTTTTACCCCTCTGCTGGGAAGGCAGAGCCGGGGCAGCCAGCTGCTCCCTGCCTTCCCTGTAATTGCTCCTTGGCTGTTGGGCCCCTTTTTGGAAATTAGGAGGTGGGCTTGTGGCTGGATATTAGATGAGTTGCATGGGGTAAAATTAACCCCTAAAGCCTGTCTCGTTGGTATTTTTGGATTTTTTTTTTTTTAGAAGGGGAAATCAGAATGTTGCAATTTGGAAAGCGGCCAGCCGCTGTCCTGGTCCTTCCCTTGGTTTTCCCCCGATGATGGCAATGAGCTGATTCTCGACAATGAGGGAGTTTCAGAGGAGAAGGCAGATTCTTTTAATTAAAAATTAAAGCTGACTTTTACTTTTAACGTGCCTATTGCATAACGTGCTGAGCTAGAACAAATCCTCCCCTGTTTATTTTCAATGGGGAGAGGGGGGAAAAAAACAACCCTTTTATTCTACCAAGAACAAGCTTCAATGTTAATTTAATGTGAACTAATGGGCGTCTCAGCAGACGTGTAATTTGTGGGTGGTGAATTCCTCCACACGAATGAGGAATGCGCAGGCACGTCCATGCTGGTGCGGAGGTGGCTCAGCAGCTCCCTGTCCCACAGCCTTGAATCTGAATTTTGTGGTTTAATCCTTGGGTAATAAGGCAAAAACGTGTTAGCAGGAATTACCTGGCCTTCCCTCTGCAGGAGGAGAGCACAGGGTTGTAAAGTGCTGTTGGGAGAGCGGGTTGCACGTGGACAGGGCTGCAGTTCAGGTTGAGCAGGGATGCAGGGTTTGGGAAAACGTTAAATATTAGGTGGTCCTTAAAGCAACCTGCTTGGGGAGGGACCTGGGGACCTGCAGACATGCCCAAGCTGCCGGCCGGGGATGAGGGGATGCTGCTCTGAGCCTGTTGTCCCTGTGGGGAATGGAAACCAGAAATGCTCTGCTCGAGGTTTGCACCCCAAGGGGATGCTGAGAGACGGAGATGCAAGAACGAGGATGCAGAGCATGGTCAAGCTAGGCAGTGGGTTCACACTGGCACTCAAATGGTGCTATGTCCCAGCAGTGCTTGCTGCTCCCTGTGTCTGGGGGGCCATGGCCCCAAACGCTTGCCCTTGGCTCGCATCGGGGTAGCAGAAAGCAAAGGCACTGGAGCGATGCTGGGGTCAAGGCCAGCCCCTGCTTGTCCTTCCTGGCCCTGGACTTGGAGTCAGGTGGGATGGATTTCTCCGTCACGCATTAATGGGGTGCTCATGGGATCAGGGACAAGGAAATTATTAACTTGAAATGTTCCCAGCATAGCTGGTACAGAAGCGTGCTGCGGTGGAGATCTCCAAGGGCTCTTGCCCTGTGGCCTCGGCACCAGTTGGAGGCGAGGAGCCGGGCCATGCCTTCCTTTTAGGAAACAGTAGCTGCAGAGCAAGTTTTTGGAGGCAGCTTACCTGCTTGGGAACATCAATCACCCTTAGCCCCTAAAAGTGGTACTTTGGGCTTTAATAACCTGAGAGTGAGAGGGAAAACGAAGGTAAAATGCTCTGTTGTGGTTGCACACAGCATCCCGGTGTGGTTGCTCCTACCAAGAGTGGAGGTGACGTTACCCCTCCTGCCTGTAGATTTCTCGTGTGCCAAATGCCAGCCTGATGTCCACCCCAGGTCAACTCTGGTGCCCATTCTAGGTCAGCAGGTCCCCTGGGAGGAGGAGGAGGCCACCCAAACATGGGGACCACTCACTGAGGATGGGCTTGGGGCATGTTGAAACCGGCTGCGAATCCCCATTGGGATGGTTTTGAGCACGAGTCCATTGCCTAGCATCCCCTCTGAGTTAACTTTCCCTCTCTTTCCTCCCCACCAAGCTGGAAGCTGACAGACTGGCGCTGCCGGTGAGCCCCAGCCCGCTCAGCCCCTCGCCCAGCCCCAGCCCCAAGCCCCCCGAGGCGACCGTCCTCACCGTGGAGCCCTCTCCTTCGGAGAAGAAATGCTTCTTCGTCGACGAAGCAGAGCCCCTCCTGCGGTGTGACTCGACCTCCAGCGGCTCCTCCGCGCTCAGCCGGACAGGCTCTTTTATTACCAAAGGTACCAAAATCAGCCCGGGGTGCGGGGAGCGGGAGGACCGAAGGGATGCCATTAGCACACGTGGCAGAGCTGCCCGACATGATACCGTTAAATCACTGGGAAAACTGGCTCTCCAGGATACATATATCGTGTCCTCATTCCGGACCAGAATATCCTGTTGGCAAAGATGATTGAGATTTGAGAGGGCAAAACACTGTTAAAGGCTCTTTAACTCTTAGAAGTGCTGCCAAAGAAGTTGTAGCATCCCTGGATGTTTGAGGGGGTTTTCCCCTGACTGTTGGCTGTTGTGTTGGTCCACAGGTTTTTGCATGAGATGAAACCTGAAAGAAATGTATTTCAAGATTGAATTTATTACCCCCCCTTGGTCCCACTTGCTGCAGCGTGTGACTTGAGATGTAAAACACCATTAGTCCCCCCTTTTTTTTAAGGAGGTTTAATTTACTGCATTTGACTTGCTGCATTCAATGGTCTTTAACTTCTGATAAAGGTGAAATACTGAGCTTGGTCAATCTACAGAATTCATACTCAGGTGTGGAAATGAAGGTGACCCAATGAAAACAACTCCAAAGAGCAAGATTCAGCTTTTTTGGCTCCCCTTCCTCTTCACTTTTCCATATTGGCCATTCAGCATTTATAAACGCTGTGTTTGCTCTAGTGGGATCCTGGATTAGGTGCTTCAGCAGTGCTGGCTTCTCCATCTTCTCCCCTCCCCATCACACATCACCCTCCACCTTGTCTCTGGATTCTCCTGGCAGCGTGTCCCTCTTCAGAGGTGGCACCAGGGGATGGACCGAGGTCTCTAAGGAGATCAAGCCCTGGTCAACAGAGGTTTCTTGAAGGATTTCTTGACCGTCCTCTCCTTTCCTCCTACAGAAAAGAAGGACACCGTCCTGCGCCAGGTGCGCTTGGACCCTTGCGACCTGCAGCCCATCTTCGATGACATGCTGCACATCCTCAACCCCGAGGAGCTCCATGTGATAGAGGAGATCCCGCAGGCTGAAGACAAGCTGGACAGGCTATTTGAGATCGCCGGAGTCAAGAGCCAGGAAGCCAGCCAGACCCTCCTGGACTCTGTCTATAGCCACCTTCCCGACTTACTGTAGGCACTGGGTCACCATGCACTCTCTGAATATCTGCTAGAGCTAGCTTGGCACTCGTTAAGATGACCGACAATACGCAGGCAGATTTTGTTGTAGAATATATGGCCAGTATTTTCATTGAGGTGTCCTTGGTTTCTGGAGGGGGGGCAGTTTGCCAGCGTTGCACCCCTCCACCTTAACTCTTTTTGCTCAGTCCAAGTCTTTGCACCCTCTGTCCCCTTTCCGAGTCTCTGTCCTTGTTCTCATTCCAATCAGATCAGTCAATGCACTTTAAAAAAATAAAAATAAAAAAAAATGCTGTTAATGAACTAAAAGACCACAAATCTGGTGTAATTTAACACATCAAATTGGGGATTGCTGTGTAACCCACTTCTTCTGTCAAAGCTATTGCTCGGATTGACTGTCTCTCACCACCTTCCTTCGCCTCAGAGCGGTAAATGGCAAAAACGCGCAAAGAAACTCAAAACCCCAATCGTTGCTGGTTACTGTCTCTTAACACAGCTAGGCTTCCCATACGAGTTGACATTTATTTTTTTTAAATGTACTATGGTGTAGCTCGTATCCATCGCTGAGATTTTCCTAGCACGGTTATTTATTGTATGGTTTTCACCCGAAACAACGCATCGCGCTCTGATAAGCTAAAGCAGAAGCGTTTTAACCACAAAGAAAAGGGTTCAGTCCCACTCAATCTTGGAGGTGATGGAAAGGTCCTTTGCCTTCAGTCGAATGTAAGGAGTTATCTTGCCTTGCTGCTTGCAGGGATGGCGGGATCCCGAAGGGAACCGGTGCTGGATGTGGGGAGGTGAAGGCGGCCATGGTGGTCCTGCTCTCCTCGTGGTGTAAGACTTCAACCAAGCTACGCTTTTACACTCGTGTCTCTTTGGGTTTTTTTTATACAGACATGGCCGATAGGTTTTCCGAAGACCTTCCTTGGTCTTAATAATCTCTTCAAATCACACTTCACTTTTTATTAAAAAAAAAAAAAGGGGGGGTGGTGGTGGGAGGGGACAAGCTGCATCGTAAAAAGTCTGTCTGATTATATTTGCAACTGTTATGCTCCCGTAACGAACAGTCTGTACTACGCTCAGTTTGAAGAAATCCTGATATGAGGGTGGCCTGTGCCGCCCCATGGGAAGGGGTGGGAGTGGGGGAAGAGGGGAATGAATTGAAAAAATTGCCTTCCAGTGTACTAATTTATTAATAAATACTAGGTGTTTGTTACTTGACATGGATCTGCGTTAACCTCCTTAACACCCACCTCTACTCGGGGACACCTGGGTTGGAGCAGGAGCTGCTCAGGGTGCCCATGGAGGGGTGAAGAGGGAGCTGCCTCCTTTAGCTTCGGGGCTAAAATGGGATTACTTTCTGTTGGTGACACTGCCTTGAGTCCCCATGGTCGCTGCTGGAGCTCCCGGCAGTCGGGGGGGTGGAGAGAGGGGCGGTGGGGATGCTTCCCTGCGGAGCAGGTCCGTGCACCCAGCCCGGCTGGTGTGGGTGCCGCATGTTAATCCCCGTAGTGGTGAGCAGATCGGATGGCTGATGGGGCTCCCAGGGTTGCTTTTTGCAAGCTCTGAAAGGCTTTGCAGGCATTTTGGAGGGGCTGAAGTATTCATTTTGCAGGCTGCAGCTGCTGTGCTGAGTCACTCCTGAGCGAAGGTCTTGCAGTCACAGTGTTTCCTTGCCTTGTTCCGTTACCGGTGTCCTTAAAATCTCTGCTTCCAAATAACTTGTGCCTTGTTATTCTGTCTACGAATGGACATGTTAATGGGACAAATGCTTCTGGTTTATGACACTGTCATTTTGTATACTTAGCTCCAAAATGTTTTCCATTAACTAGGGTGCTGTGTTTTCTTCCTGGCTGGCAGTGAACATTGCTGTTACAGGACTATACATAGATACAGGATTAAAACTTTTCAACACATGGACAGATGAAATACAGTGCGAAATAGCAAGAGCCTTTATTGAGAGCGCTGGGGTGGGATTTTTCCCTGGCTGGCACTGAAGCATCAAGCTCTGCGTGGCTGCAACATGTCTCCAAAGCATCACGAAGAAATAGCGAGCGTGGCTCGTGTGCCTGGCATCGACTAGCTTGCTAAAAGCAGTGTTTTGAGACGGAGCCCAGTATCACCCTGTTGGCAAATGGGGTTTTGTTATCTCCATGTTGGGAGCAGTGGTGGCTGCTGCCGATCCACCTGGGCAAGAATTGACAAGGCAGGGGGAAGGTGTGCAATCATATGCTCCATCTATAACTTAGAGCAAGCACAAAGTGCTGGCTTTAAATTATCTGTAGCAGGTTCTTGGAATGAGTCTAGTATGGAAACTGGGGAGATTTGTCCTTTTCTGATGGTCCAGGTGCTTTCACTTAAACCCATAGGCGGTAAATGCTGGAGCCATCGGAGCCACCTTGCGAGGACACTACCAGCAGCTCTGCTTCCCATCCCAGCAGCTGCTTGTGTTTTCTGATGGGATTTGAAAGTAAAACAAATGATCCTAGGAAGAGGATTTAGCAGCCAGCTGAAGAAACATCATGAAGCAGGTATGTCATGGAGGTGCCTGGGCCAGGAGATGCTGGGGAGGCACGAGGAAGCTTTAACAGTGGACACAGGTGGGTCCCTGGGTGGTTTGGGCACGTTTAATTCATCTTGGTGGCAGGTCGTGGGACAGGCCAAGATTTGGGCAATCCTTGGCTCCATCTCTGCTATGCACATCTCCAGCATCGCTCCCTCCTTTGCTTGCACCTGGATGTTGGTCTTGTCCCTGGCTCCATTGTTTCCTGTTTTTTAGCTGTGTCCTCTAAGCAGCCATTTACTGTATGCATATGTGTGTATGCATTATATTTTTTATTGTACATAATTAATATATAGAATCATATTAATATATGCTACATAAATATTTTTGTGTATTACTTTTATGTTTTTTTTTATTTTATTATTATGTATTTATGTGTGCTATAATATATATCTCAAGATTTTGCGTATCTGGGGGTGGGCAGGGGAAATGTCTGAGAGCAGCTGAGCCACCCATATAGGCAGGGTATTTCCTGGTGGTGTGGGAGGTGTGAGAAGCCGCAAGCCCAGCACTCCCACCCTTCCTGTGAAGCCAGCTCTCTTAATGCCTCAACAAAATAAACCAGGCATCCATGGCTTTGTGACCCGAAGGCATAACTCCAGGGGGAAGAGATTGTCTTTGTCCTTGTATGTGATTTATTTGAGGCATCAAGGACAATGCGTGAACCTTGCATGCTGCAACACCAGTAGTGTGCAACTCAAATGGGTGAAGTTTTTGGCTAAATAGGTGCAGCAAGGCAAAGCCCTGAATATAAAGACCTTGATAAATACATGATTTAAAATGCATTTTGCATTTTATGCAAAATATGCATTAAAAAATTACTCTCGGGGCTGCATCGCAGGTGAGAGGTGCAGATTTGAAGTGTGTGGCTTGGCTTTGCCCCTCGCCTGGCGATGCTCGCTCAGCCATAGGGTTTGCTCCTTGGGTGCTGTGCTCACGGAGCCCGTTAAACCCGAGGGGACAGAAAGCAATACCAGGATCCAGCCGTGCTTCTCTGCTCTGTCTGCTCTGGGCATCTTGCGTCCAAGTTTCTTGTGCTCGCTATGGGCTTGGACATGAGATGTGAAAATTGTGTCTCCTTCCCAAGGTCACAGTGTTTGCTGGGACAAAACCCTCCAGCATGGCCTGGCATCCTCAGGACTGGATAGCTCTGCCGTTCTGGGGTCTTCTAATTCCTTTTAATTCCAAATGAGGTTTGGGATTATTTTTTTAATATGTTTTCTTTTTTTTTTTTTTCCATGAATCCCAGGCAGTCCCTGCAGAAGAACAAAGCATCCGGTGCACTTTCCTCCTACACCAGCCCAGCTGGAGTTTATCCTAATGGGGAATTAATTGCAACCCTCCGGGTGTGGTTGCTCATGTCTGGGTTGGAAAAGCACCTGGGATCTTCTGGGAGGTTATTGAGCCCTCCAGCTCCTATGACATCAGCTAATTGTCAGTGAATTGCAACACAGTCTGTGTGTCAGAGGAATGTCTGTGCAGCCTTTGTGTGAATAACCTGCAGGAGATGGGTGCTGATGCCACCTGAAGATGCCCCATGGGCTTGGCGTGGGATGCAGGGGTTATTCGGGAGGGGGGTGTCTGTGCCCATCCCCAGGGCTGCGGGGCTGAGCCATGCAATGCGTGGGATGGAGGCAGGTTGGCACAGGGACGGCTCACACCGAAATCCTCCTCTGGCATGGCCAGGCTGTGAACTTTAAGTCATGATGGCTTCGCGGTTTGGTTTTCTTCTCTTGGACTTTGCTCCTGTGAGTACCATGACGGGGGAGTTTGCAGGGCAACTGGTAGGAAATGGGAAGATGGAGGAGAAATAAGAGAAGCCATCACTTACGTATTCATCGAGTACTTGTCTAGTGGTGGCACCCCATGAGGTGTTTATCAAACCAGCCTTTAGGACATGGCTGCTGCTTCACCATGAGAGCATTTCTGAGGTTTACAGTTTCCTTCCTACTGCTGTAATTTAATTTTCCCTTCTGCCTTCCCTCCCTTTCTCAAGCATTTTCTTAACCAATATAATCCAGTGTTGTGGTTCAGCCCCAAGTGGCAACTAAGCAGCACGGAGCTGCTCAATTACTCCTCCCCCCCACCCAGTGCTGGGGGGGAGAGGAGAAAAATGTAAGAGGCCTGAGGGTCCAGATAAGAACAGGGAGGGGTTACCCACCAACTACGGCCTACGGCGAAACAGACTCAGCTTGGGGACAAACCTATTTAATTCATTAACAATTACTTGAGAGAATAACAAGAAGCAAAGCCAGATCTTAAAAACACCCCTTGGCCCTACCCCTTCTTTCTTCCCAGCTCTAGCTCCTCCCCCAGCGGCAAAGGGGGACGTGGACTGGAAGTTGCAGGTCAGTTCGTCACACATTGTTTCTGCCGCTCCTTTCTTAAAGAGGAGGACTCTTTACACTCTTGCCCTGCTCCAACATGGGGTCCCTCCTCATAGGAGACAGTCCTCCACAAACTTCTCCAATGTGAGTCTCTCCTGCAGGATGCAATCCTTACCCAGCGGATTGCTCCAGCACGGGCTTCTTCCCCATGGAGTCACGGCTTCTTAGGGTGCAGACACCCGCTCCGTCACGGAGTCCTTTCTCACAGACTGAAGATGCATCTCTGCTTCACTGTCAGTCTCCAGCGTCAGGGAGGACCTTCCCACAGAGACAATCCTCTATGGCTTCCCTTAGGCACATCCTCCTGCTCCAGCGTGGGGTTCT